GTGTGTGTGTGTGTGTGTGTGTGTGTGTGTGTGTGTTACTGAAGACAGAGTTCAGGGCCAAGCTTTTGCAAAGCAAGCGCTCACACTGTACTGTACTCTCCCCACCCCCCCCACCCCCCTTTTAAAGCCAACAATGATTTAATTGGATTCTGTATGTATTCTTTGCATTTTGCTCTTCTACTGCCTGTGTTCCTTTCGCCAGATGTTGGCTGAGCATTTTCTGTAGGTAGGGTATTGAGTGGCTGGAAGTGGAATGGCAATTTTGTTTGTTTGTTTCTTTTTATTACTTAAAAGAAACTGTGGTAGAGCTAAGATGGAGGTCAATGGTTGATCCTCAGCAAACAGCAGCAAAAGAAAGTTGTGGCAAAAGACACATAAGACAGTGTACAGCTTGGCAGTGTTAAGTATATCCACTTTGTTGTGCAACTGTAAATGATTTCATTAACATTTGGAATCCCCATAGTACCTAGCAGATGTTTGCTGACAGGTGGGAAGTTTACCATCTGTCTTAATCCATCAGATAACTATAACAAAACACCAAAAACCGGGTTAGCTTATAAACAACAGATTTATTTCTCACAGTTCTGGAGGCTGGGAAGTCCTCTAAGTTTCCGGCAGATTCAGCATCTAACAGTGGCTGGCTGGCTGGCTGGCTTTCTGATTTTTAGACAGGAATACTCCAGCTGATGCTTTCTCCAGTGGGAGGACAGGACAGGGAGTGCTGTCCTCCTGTACTGACACCTCACCCAAGGTCCCACCTCCCAATCCCTTCACCTAGGAATTTAGGAATTTGGGGACACAGTACTGTAACATCCCCAAAGTGTCTTTAACCTGAGTTCGCCATGCTCAAGGGATCTCAGTAGCCCTGCCAGCAAAAGCAGTTATTTCTAAAGCAATTTACACTAAATATGTCCTAAGAGCTGTCGTACATCTCATAGCCTTATTTTGATTTATTTATTTATTTTGAAAATAGATTCTAAATTCACACGGCTTAAAGTTTGCTAGTGTAAGAATAGCAAACGTGGAAAACGGATTCATTTCCTGAAATGTTTTAGGCATGTGTAAACAAAATCAGGCGGTTCCTGGGCCCCATCTTTCACACAAAGTATAAGATGCCATACACGTTCTTTGGAGTCTTCCTTTTTTTCACTGACTGTATCTTGAAGGTCACAGCATTCCCTACATCCACTTTTTACATTCCATGGACATGCTGTACTATGTAATTGACTTACTCAGGTTCTTGTCAGTCACCATTTAGATTTTCTTCTCTCCTTTTGCTACTTTTTTTTTTTTTTTTTTTGCCAATCTCCTGTGAATGAAACATTACTGCCATCAATGACATCTGCGTGCATCATTTTACAAGCATGCAAGTATATGTGTTAAATACATTTCTAGACTATGAACTGCTTGGTGAGGGAGGGGTGTGTGTCTATAGTTTAGGTAGACATTGCTGGAGGTTGGTACCTTGCTGCTTTTCTCCCTTATTCTCTAGGGGTTGAGAATTGGATTGTAATGACATATGGGGTTGACGGGAGAAGTGTGTTTCACACGTGTAAAGAGCGGAGGGGGATCAATAGAATCCCTGCCCCCACCGCCACCCCGTTTATTTCTCAAAAAGAGAACTGCTTGGCCAGGCCTGTCAGGTCATGTCCTGCCTCCTTAGGTCTCTGCAGTCACTCACCCAGGGTTATTATCATGTAAGGCTCATGCTCCACAGAGCACAGGCTGCTGGCCCAGGGGGAGCTTGATAAGCCTAGGGCTGTGTCTCCAGACCGGCCAGGCTCCCTTTGAAAGGTGACAAGGACAGACAAATACTTGGATTTGCATATCTATAAAGGCAACGATCACCCCACTTTATTCTGGACTGTCCCTATTATGGGTGTGGCTTAATTATTACCAGTGTTACCTCTCACCCTCAAGGGGTCTTGGATTGGACGACAATTTGCTAACTTTGCAGAGATGGGGCAATTCTGAAAGGAACGTTAGGCTCCTGTAAACATGCCTGGGGAGAGAGAGAGACACCCCGGGATTTGGGCCTCACTCCCTGCCATTGTCTAAGGTGACAAAAAAGAGCTTAAAGTTATCATAAATGAACCTCCTTCTCCCTAGTAGGAGTTCGATAGCTCTGAAAACTTTTAAGTCAGCTGTATTTGTCCCTTCTCTACTGATAAATATGCTGTAGGGCATTTCCTCCTCCCTCACAGGTCACTGAAGATTGCGCTAGCAGTCCCTTGACCTCAGCAGATATAATAACCACATTGGCCATCCATTTGGCAGTTTAGACGAGGCCATGGCTTTGAACAAGCCCCTCCCTGGCAGCACGGCTGCCCCATATGATGCCATTATGGAGTCTGGTCTAGGTGAGAGACAAGAGTGGACAAGAACGATGTTTTGGGTTCAGTTCAAAGATGCTTTATTTTGACTCCCTTCCAAAGCCACATGGAAGTAGGGCAAGAGATGGGCATGAATTAAGGCAGACGCAGCTGCCGGTTGTCCCCTTTGTTTTTCACAGAGTGACCGTAAATTTGGCCATCTTGGCAGCCTGAAGTGTGAGGTGTCTTAGGAGGTCAGGGTTGCCCAGAAATGTGGGCTCATTCTTTCATACTCTAGCCGCATTAACAGCTAGAAACGACTCGTGAGACCATATAAGGTAAAATTTGACTCAGCCAGCAGCTTCACTCAGGCTAATATCCAGATTCCAGACCTTGAAATGCCTGCAGTGCCCAGGCTGCGGCAATCCTTCTTTATCTACACCTGGGCAGAGCGTGTAGGAGGCTTCCTCTTATTTTGCAGGCAGGCCTGGCCTTGGTCTACCACAAACATACTTAGCCTTTAAGTTCACAAACAAACTCTTGGCGTCCCCCTGCATTAACACAGGCTAAAGGACATCTGTGTTGATTCTGATCGGCTCACTCCTCGGGCCAGGCTTTCCATTTTGCTAATCACTTTGTCTCATCTCTTACTGATTACTCTTGATTGCAAAAGCCCAGCTCTTCAATTGCGGCCTGATTCTCTTTGTCCCTCAGAACCCTTCCCTCTGTGAAAAAATTCGTCCTGGATACACATGCAGCTCTCATCATTTCCTCTTCATTTAAAACGTTTATGCTCACCACTTTTGTTTCCATCTCAGCCATATGCATCCTCTTACTAACTCTTACAACAGTTTTACAGCCTTCGTACTTTCTGGATGCGATGAGCTAAATGTCCATATGCCCCCCAAATCTATGCGCGGTCATAGTGAACATGACTAATGACTAAAGCGGCCAGCAATGGCTGGAAATGCCATTCGTCTGTGCCAAGCAGGACAGGTGAACTCTTCCTTAGAAACACAGATCAGCTGATATCCGTGTGAGTACATTGGTTTAGTGTTCTTTTAAAAGGCAGGGACTTCTTTCTTCCCTTTGTCAATTCCTAAGTGAAGGATGGGTTTGGGGCTTGAATGGCAAGAAGAGAAATGGGAATACCAGAACAGAACTGAAGCTGACCTGCTATTTTCATGAATAAGAAATTAACGTAAGTGAGAGAGTAACGTCACAAACCACTAAAATGTCAGTAAAACCAGTGCAAGTAGGACAGCTCTAGAGGGAAAGGGATCCTGGTAGTCCGGAGACCAGGACTACCACAAGGTCACACCACACAACAGACCTCACACCAGAGACTTATTGTAAGAGACACAAGAGGGTGGCTGCCTCTGCTCAGGCAAGAAGCAGCAGGGAGCTGAGCAGGTGACAGGCATAGAGAGGGTTTCTTGGGGGAGACGTTTTCCAGGGTGGGGATTGGTGAGATTGCAAGTCCTGAACTTGGGGTGAGCCCAGGGACTGGCAGGACTTCAAGCGCAGGAACTGGTAGGATTTCGAGCTCAGGGATTGGGGGGTTTTGGTGGATTTTCAAACCTGGAAGTGAGCTCGGACCTTTTATTTTATAATCAGAGTTGCTTGTTATTGCCAATTAGTTTGACAGCCACCAGTTCCAGAAAGGTGAGGGAAAATAACAATAGACATATTTCAGAGTGAGAGGGGTTTAAAGGAGGTTTTGACACAATGAGACAGAAGGCATGTGTGCCAGGTCAATGTCGAGAACGACCACCACCAAGGGAAACAATACAGGCTCTGAAAAGATCTAGGGGCAGCAACCATAGTGGGATGTGCAAGGCAAGTCTTAGAAGCCCAAGACTTCAAACGCTCCTCTGAGCTAAATAATCATCCATCCCAAGCTGCCAGCTTGACCCCACTGTCTTCTTAGTACATCTCCAAATGGAAAACATAGAAAGGGCTTATTCTCTCCTACAGTGCTGGACTGAGCACATTGGCTAGCTCCTCCGGCCAGGCCAGCTCAGGTCTAGCTCACTTTAAAGGAAGCCATAGACAATATGTCCTTCTCAACTCTCTTGTCTTCCCCTTTCATGTCATTTCATATAGACTATAAGGGGTCCATGATGAAAACTACCCTGCAAGATAAATTGCAAGGTAAATAGTATTTCTGTTTAAGCCACAAGGAAACCGAGACCTGGAGAATCAAGTAACTTTCTTTCTTTCTTTCTTTTTTTTTTTTTCAAGACAGGGTTTCTCTGTGTAGTTTTGGTGCCTGTCCTGGATCTTGCTCTGTAGACCAAGCTGGTCTCAAACTAACAGAGATGCGCCTGGCTCTGCCTCCCGAGTGCTGGGTTTAAAGGTGTGAACTACCACCGCCCGGCTCAAGTTACTTTCTGTAATGACAAAGTAAGTGATGGAATTATGATTAAATCCCATCAGCCCAGCTTCAGAATCCACAGGAAATTGTTACATTCCTGGACGGAGGCTCAGAAAATGCTGCTCTGAAAAGCACTGTCTATCATGATTGTCAAAAGTCAAAATTATCAGCCTTTGCTCAACATTTACTTTGTCTTCCTAAATGAGACAGTTGACCCAAACATCAGTAAATGAAGGTATAATTCTAATTTCAAGACAACAATACTTTGCTCTTAATCTGATTACACTTTAACTTTTTTTTCTCCAACCCAGAAATCAAGAGATATCAACATCCTGAGAACTCCAAACTTGACTCTACACACCACCTTAGGACATCCAGCAAGCCTCTTACATGGAATGTGTTCAGATAGACCTCAACCTGGTTTCTTCTTGATCTTCTCTATCTTAGTAAATACACAACAACAGTCAAGCCAAAATCTTGTTATGCATTTTTATTCTTCCTTCTTCTGTATCTACTTCATCAGTAAGCAATGGTCATTCAACTATAGATAGATAGATAGATAGATAGATAGATAGATAGATAGATAGATAGATAGATAGATAGATAAAGATGGATAGATAGATTCAAATTATGTGTATGTGTATATGTGTGTTAGTTTGTATACATACGTGTCAGTGCCTGTGGAAGCCAGAGACATCAGAGCCTCCTGGAACTTGAGTTACAGTTGGTTGTCAGCCATGTGTGCTGAGAACCACAATTGGGTCCTCTGGAAGAGCAGGAAATGCCCTAAGCCACTGAACCACCTCTCCAGTGTCCCTTAATACATTTTATATAAACCACCATCCTCCATGTGTACTGTATCACCTGATCCTGTTATGGGTCTGGTGCTGTGGATATCCCTCTGTATAAATAAAATGCTGATTGGCCAGTAGCCAGGCAGGAAGTATAGGTGGGACAAGCAGAGAAGAGAATTCTGGGAAGTAGAAGGCTGAAGCAGAGAGACACTGCCAGCCACTGCCATGAGAAGATGTTAAGATACCAGTAAGCCACAAGCCATGTGGCAACTTATAGCTGAATAGAATGGGTTAATTTAAGATATAAGAACAGCTAGCTAGAAGCCTCCTATGGCCATACAGTTTATAAGCAATATAAGTCTCTGTGTGTTTACTTGGTTGGGTCCAAGCGGCTCTGGGACTGGCGGGTGAGAGAGATTTGTCCTGACTGTGGACCAGGCAGGACCAGGAAAACTCTAGCTACCATCTGGTGTCATTCAGAGATTCCAGTCTGACTTGAAATTTTTATCCTCTAAACATAATGTTGACCATCACACTCAAAACTAGCACTTCCCTCCCAATAAATTTCTATTTATCATCTCATATCATCCATTTTCTGCTCATATTAGAAGTGACCTTTGAATGATAGGCATTGGCTTATGTCACCCTTCTTGTTGTCTTCCAAGGGTCAGTGCCACATTTGGAATAACTCCCAAATTTCTTCCAAAGACCTAACCTGATCCAGCCCCAGCTGGTCCCTGACCATGTGTTTTCCAAGTCTAGCCCTCCATATCCCTCTTCAGCTATTCTGATCTGATCTGCAGGCAGGACAGGCTTACTGCTGCCTGGGGCTGTAGTGCTATTCCTTCTGTTTGAAGATGTTTTTCTTGGGATCTTGGGTTGATTGCCAAAGATATTAGGTTCAGTTCTCAAAGCAAATGTCATTTCCTAAGAAAACATTTCCATAATCACCCTGCTTAGAGAACTTCTTTCCCATCCCATCCTAGGACCCTGGTGCCTTTATAATGAGAAGGTTCAGAAGATGCCACCCAAAAAGTGTTGCTTTGCATATTAATTTCTGGATGTGATAGTGTTAGTAGTCATCTTGACAAAATCTAGTAACACCTAGAGAAAGAGCCCTTGGGCATGCCTGTGGGAGATTATCTTAATTGCATTAATTAATGTGGGAAGACTCATCTTAATTGTGAGACTATTTCTTAGGCAAGGGATCCTGGAAGGTATAAAATGGAAATGTAAGCTGAGCACTAGCAAGCATGTGTTTGTTGCCCTCCCCTTCTCATTTCAGATGTAATGTGACCAGGTGCACCAAGTTCCTGCTGCCAAGACTTGCCTGATGATCGGAGTTCTGTCCCTGGGATTTGCGGGGAACAAGGAAACTGATTGCCGAAAGTTGTCCTTTGATCTCTGCATGTATACCATGGCGTAGGCACACGCACGCACACACGCACGCACGCACGCACGCGCGTCTTCTCACTCCAGAAATGAATTCTTCAACAGATACCACCAAAGTCCAACTTGGTGAACCAATGAGTTTTATTGGGGTTACTACAGGAGCATGGGTGAAAGGTGGAAAGGACACCCTCCAACCTGTTGAGGTGCCTGTAGATGGCACAGTGTGCTCCAGGTTCCCAGCTCTGTGAGCTGTCACCTGTGCTGGGGTGGGCTTTGGGGATGCAGCTGTCTTCGAGTCACTTCTGCTCCTGTATGTGACCCCTCACCCGTATTCCACTCAGTTGGTCTGAACGACTTCCAGGCAGCTCGACTGATTTGCAGATCAGTTTGCAGCAGAATCTACTGTTCAGCTCACGACTCTCAGCTTTTATTGTTTACTCTGGCAGGGAGGGGTTCTGGTAAAGCTGGTCATTTTCAGGGACTTCCAGAAGCCATTTGCTTTTTTTTTTAGTTGTTTATCTCCCTGCTTAAGGAGCTTCCTTGCAGGATCTCAGAGGAAATTTATACAACACACACACACACACACACACACACACACACACACACACACACACACACACACATAAATGCATTAAGAATCCCCCCCATGACATGTAAAAATGTTAACATGAAATATAGAGTGTGTGCTTTTCTCCTGTTAATCTGTTTTTTGTCAAGTTAATTCTCAAGTATCAGATGCAGAATGTAAAAGACTAGCAGGGGAAGATTTTTCTTTGTTGGAGCCTTGAAATAACATCAGGATTTAGATTCTCTGACTCTCTGATTCTCTGTCTCTGTCTCTCTCTCTCTAAAGAAAGAGCTGGTCAGGAGTTCATGACTCTTCTGCCTTTGTCTCCAGAATGTTGGGATTATGTGTGTGAACTCATATTTCTTATTCCTTTGTTTTGTTTATTGTTCCAACTAAAATGTAACCTCTAGGAGAACATGAAGATTATTTATCTTGTTCATCACCACATCTACAGCTCTCACACACAGCAGGTGCTCAATAAATATTTGTTAAATGGCTGAATCCACACAGTGGCTAAGCTCCTAGGAGAGGGACATCTCCAGGAGACCTAACATCAACAACACCTCATTTATGGACAGCACTGTTTATCTCAGGCCCCAAGCACGTTCATTTAAGGTACTGTGTTACCTGGGTACTGACTGAGTACATTTGATCTTCTAAAAAAGTTAATCTTACTTAAGAGAAAGAAGACAAGGGTGAAGATTTGAAGAAAGGCAGAGAGAGCAACCAGGTCGACCAACAGCACACAGCAAGAAACCTAAGAGAAGAAAAAGTATCAGAAAAAAATGTTCGGAGTTCTGACCCTGGGACTCACCCAGGATGAGGAAACTGATTCAAAGAGTAACTGTAAATTCAAAGAACAAACAGCATGATTGAGTTTTGGAGACAGGGTCTTTTTATTTAGACCAGGTGGTGTAGAACTCACTCTGTAGACCAGGCTGTCTAGGAATTCACAGAGATCATACTGCCTCTGCCTCCTGAGTGCTGAGACTAATCGTGTACACTACCATACCTGACTTCTTGGGTTTTTGTTTATTTGTTTTTGTTTTTGAGACAAAGTTTTGTTTTATTGAGACAGGGTTTCTCTATGTAGCCTTGGCTAACATGGAACTCCCTAGGTACAGCAGAATGGCCTCAAACTCACAGAGATCTACCCACCTCTGCCTCATGAGTGTTAGGACCAGAGGCTGTGCCATCATGCCTGGCATTATTTACCGCTGTGGAATAATCCTTTTGTACACTGTGTAGATTTGTCACTCAGATTGGTTTAATAAAGAAGCTGACTGGCCAATAGCTGAACAGAGTAAGGTTAGGCAGGAGAGCCAAACTGAGGATGCTGGGAGAAAGAAGGGCAGAGCTGGAGAATGGCCAACCAGACATTGAGAAAGCAGGATGTGCAGAAAATGAGGTAACAAGCTATGAGCCATGAGGCAAAGCCTAACCCATAAGAAATATGGGTTAATTTAAATGTAAGTTAGCTAGTAACAGGCCTGAGCTATTAGCCGAGCATTTGTTATTAATATTAAATGTCTGAGTGATTATTTGGGAGTGGCTGCCAGCACAGAAAAACTCCACCTACAATTTATTTCTGAATTTCTTATGCTTTTCATCTTTAAAATATTTATTCTTTGACAATTTTATAACTGTATATAACGCATTCTGATTTGTCTCACCACTGAACCCTTTTTCTCCCTCCCATCTCTGTTGACCTCAACTCTCCTCCCTACAAATCCATTTCCCATATTCTTGTCTTTTGTTTTGGCTTGTGTCCTACTGAGTTTAACTAAAAGCATTTGTGTGACTGTGGGTGTTACTGTGGTTTGGATAAGAAATGTAGCCCATAGGCTCAGGCATTTGAACACTTGGTCCCCAGTCGGTGCCGCTGCTTGGAAGAGTTTAGGCTTGTCTTTGCTGAAGGAAGTACATCACTAGGGGTGGCTTTGAAAAGGTACAGCCGCTGGGTGGTGGTGGTGGTGGTGGTGGTGGTGGTGGCGGCGGCGGCGGCGGCGGCGGCGGCGGCGGCAGCAGCAGCGGCGCATGCCTTTAATCCCAGCACTTGGGAGGCAGAGAGAGGCAGGTGGATCTCTGAGTTCAAGGCCAGCCTGGTCTGCAGAGCAAGATCCAGGACAGCTAAGGCTACACAGAGAAACCCTGTCTCAAAAAAAAAAAAAAAAAACAGACAAACAAAAATGTACAGCCTTGCCCCACTTCTAGCTGCTCTGTGCTTTGTGCTGGCTACCAAGCCCCACCCCACAATGGTGGACCTTTAGCTCAGGGTAAGCCAAAATGGACTCTTTCCTGCACAAGCTGCCTTGGCTATCATGTTTTACCACAGTGGCAGAAGAGTAACGAGCACAGGGAACTGTCCATCGGAGCCTGAGGAGCTCACCAGTGCGTGCACAACTCAAGAATGACTGTCCCCCTTCCAGCATCCATCACCAGGGGAGGGTGGAGCCCCGTGCACCCCTTTCCTAGCCATGACTGACTGTTGCCAGGTTCAGTCTTGTGCAGGCCGAGTCCAGAAAACCACAGCTGCTGTGAGTTCCTGTTACAACGGCTATGCCTTGCCTTGAAGATGGGGTTTCTCACCTCATATCCTTATCATCCAGCTCATTACATTTCAAAGGGCAGTTTTGACACATAACTCTCAGGATATCAAGGGATAGGGAGGGAAGGAGAGAAAGAAGCACGGAGAGACATATTGGACAGCAAGATGGCTTCTGTTGAGCAGGGGATTCAAATGCAATCTTCCACATGA